TCATGACAACACGTAGTCTGCAACTCAACGGGCGGAAACGTCCAACATGATGTACTGAATAAGCAGAAATATTCGTCTGGTATTTAATTTCTTCTTTTCGTCCAAGGAGCTTTTGGACTAAATTAAATGCCGGACTATTGTCGATTTGTCCAGCTTTTCAATACACTCTTATTATCCATGGACGAAATTTACAACCGGACGAATTCCCTTTCTTTGGAGATGGACGAAATTATTGACCGACGAAATGTTCTGCCTGTACAGTATGTGGTGCGTCCAGTACGTCTGCAGATCTCAAGCACCAGTACAACTCCTTACAGGGTTCTAGCCAAAGGGGGGGGGAAAGGGACGCAGAAAAAAAAGGGGACGCAGCGACCCCCTACTCATTTTCCGATTTTCGTGTTTCCATGCAATTCAAAGAAAATGCAGTCGAAAGTCACTACTAGATGGTTCATAAAGGCACATTTGTCTCGGGTGAAGTCGGGGATTCGCCCCATACGTTGCATTTAGCGTGGCAAGACAATATAGGAAAGTGGAAAAAATGGGATACGGCGTAAGTGCTTCCCATGCCCCCCCCCCCCCCTACTATTTTGACCTGGCTAGAAGTAGAACCCTGTGACAATATTAGACTATGTTAAGATGCTGCAGATCACACATACTACAAGTAGTACTTGAGTACAATTTGCACCACAGCAGGCTGACAAACAGGGGGAAAGAACACACGCAAAAGACAGGACAACGCGTGCCAAGATCATTACCTTCGGTAATTGCCAGGCACGACGATCTTCTTTGAAGCGACCGCCTTCATGACGCGGCTCAGCACCTCGTAAATAGGCCCATTCATCTGCTGAGTCAGCTTACCCTGGTACTGCTTCTCCAGCTCTTCTCTACAAAACGTAGAAAAAAAAGGACATACGGAAACGATTTAAGAGTAACTCTCCACCACTGTAACTAGATACTATATACAGTCAGAAAGTGCAACAACTAGGGACAAAACTGACAGAGTAGTGAGACATTCGACAGCCTGACACCTAGCTTCAACATCCTTTTCCTTTCTACATTTATTATTGGCTCAATAACCGAGTCTCTACAAAACGCATGAAAACACGCATGTACAAACACAAACACAGACACAGTGTCATATTGAGTCTTGTTGCTTGCTCCGTATCCAGGACGTAAAACAAGCTCTGTCAAAACGTCTCCAGCTGAGTCACATGGACAGGTGGGGCGAAGAAGCCCCCATGCCGACATGTGCATGCCATCCATGTGTACACAGCAATAGACAAAACACACACACACACACACACACACACACACACACACATGCCCATCGCGGAAGCGATGATAACGAACCGCTATGTTAGACATAACAACTTGTGCTGGGATTACACCATTCAACAGCTTGCAAGGCAAATGTGTGTATGTCGGAGTATGTGGTGTGGTGTGTGTGTCGAAAAAGACAAGAATGAAAAATAGGGATTCACACACCACCACCACCACCACCACCACCACCACCACCACCACCACCACGATACTATCACACGGAATACACATGCCTACAATAGTGCACTGCCAATGTATCACTGCACAAGTGCACTGACTTACGTGCTGCAGTGGCAGTGCAGTCAGGGTAGAGTAAACCAATACTAGTACTACAGTAAAACCTGGTTTAAGTGACCACCCCACGGCGCAAGCAAAAGCGGTCGTTAAAGCCAGGTGGTCTTTAGAACCAGGTCTCACAGTGCGCTAAACCCAGAGGACGCTTACACCAGGGTTTACTATAGTATGCTCTGTGTGCTTGTTGCCGTGCATCTTGTTGCCGTGCATCGTGATTGGCGTATAAGCTCATGGCCACATCTACACTCATCTGATGCCCCTTTTGAATCAGATAAGCCCATGGGCCTGTCCGCGGAATTCTTTGGTTGCTGTATGGAGAGGCACCACGTGCACTGGTTTGCCACTAAATACAACGTATCTACAATGTTGTCATTAAACATGACCTCTGTGTGAAACAGAAGTATGGCGGTACTAACAGCAATTGACGGTACACAACAAAAGCAATGCCACATTGCACGCATGATAAGAACAGGCACAGCGGCAGACTCACTCTGACAATGCCACCTCTGCTTCCATCGACTCTTCCTTGTTGAGGATGAGAATCAGAAAAGGGTAGCGCGTCTGGCCCTGCCTCATGGGAGGGTCCATAGCCACCTAGGCAAGAAACACGCATGCACACACACACAACAGTGGGAGGAGGAGATATTAGAGAACGACCGAGACAAATACGAATCACAGTCATGCCTTAGTGCAAACGCTGCAGTACTACCTGGAGCAAGTGTCACTTTCCTGTTGGTCGATCGCCCATGATACAGTGTGAATTTGAAGACACAACAGCCTTTCCCTCCTTTGCTGCTCCGATAATTACTCAACCCTATATTACTAGAATACATGATCCTCACACAAGACAAGATGCTTAAACAGCAGGCAGGCAGGCATCTGCAGAAACTCACCACAAAGTACATTTGTCGCATGTCGTTGTGAGGCAAGAGGAAGAGTCGCACGATGGACTGAAAGGGAACGGTGAAGTCGTACGACTTGCCATGCAGGAAGAGAAACCCTGGGTATACTTTCACTGTGTAGCGTCCACTATATCGGCAATGGCAGAGGGAAACGTGGGAAAAGGCAATGCAAAGCACAACAACAACTGAGCAACTAAATAAAGAGAAGGACTTTGTAGATTGCACACGACAACAGATTCACAAGGGCTGCCAATAACCCAAACTTTGCATACCATACTTTCTCTAATGAAAGCCCGGGCTACTTATTAGTTCAAGGACCACCTGCGCTAGAATTAGGGACTATGCTTTTATCTTTCAATGCTCCACTATCAGCCAACTTCCGTATCTAAACGTACAAAGAGAGAGAGAGAGAGAGAGGAACTGACCATATGAAGAATTTTCTAAAACCTACCTTGAAGTAAACTCAAAGAGATATTGTCAAGACTAATGTTTCACAATAACATAGCCACCAGAAAGGAAATACATGTAGATCAATAACGTGCATGACACAATGTACTCAAGTACTCCTATTTTACATTCAGTTAATGTACTGCTGAATAGTCCGGCAAATGTGACCCACGATACTACTAGAGATTGTACTCTTACTACTTCTCAAAAACCCTTGCCGGGTCACTACTATAGACCGGGCTTTATCAGAGAAACCGGTAACTACTAGTACATCTAGTGTCAACCAATACAATTATAAACAAACATAATACATGAATGTAGATACCGCCAAAACCCGAAGAAAAACAACAAATGTGCATACACGCATACACACGCATATACACACACGCGCGAACGCGCGCGCGCGCACACACACACACACACCGCACTGAAAACGGCAAGCAGTGGCTTACCGAGGCACCAGGCATGACATTTCGTCAAACGTAATGAGCGCATCGCCAGACACACGAAGAATGTCGGCATGCGACGTGATTTTGGTGTGGAATTCCTGAGCCACAAAATAAGCAACGGATATGGCAAACGAAGCAGGAATTGCACTACTGTAGAGGGAAATAGTGTCAGCATGATAGCTATTACCAGGGCTACTTCCAAAACAATACAACCGGCAATGCAAGGGGGAAGACGGCTAGTTTAACATATGAACAAGCAGGTAGTAGCCGTCTTTGGGCTGACGGCGGGAAAACACGATTATACGCCGCATGCTTGGGGTCCGTACGCACAGCCAACACAGTACAGAGGTTCTGCATTTAGAATTTCCAAATATTTTCCGACTCGACTGCTTCTTTCCGTTCAATTATTTTCCCGAAAGTTCTACTGCTCCGCCGACTCTCGAAGCCAGAACTGCCGAAAAATATTCCGAAATTCAAAACGCAGAACCTCCCTGCCATCTGAGCAAGGTTTCACTAGTTTAAAGAATCCGCAACTCGATGCACCATGTCAGTGTGCACTGCGGTACTCGCCACTGTAGTTAGCGAATTAAGAATACAGTACCAGTTCTACAGTCTGGGTGGGAGGGTAACAATGCACACCTTAGCAGCAGAGAAAGCATGGACGTCACCCCACCACTGAGTCAAGACCCTCACATCCTGGGTAGGGATTTCAGTCACGTGATCTGCGGGGGCAAAAGTACCTTGACACGCATGCATGCATTTTGAATGCCAGGCATGGCACAGCTCAGAGCGGGGTCTTCGGCGTAGATTTTAGGTAGGGAGAGTGAGTTTATCGCCATTTTTATTGGCGCACCGTTGAAGAGTAGGTTTCAAGCTTTCGTTTGGTGCCTCACACGGCGAATTCGTGCCGATATTACGCATCTCGATAGATTCTTGTAGATTTCAAAGTCGCTTTTGAGGTGTTTGCCTTGGTTCCACACTCAAGCATCAGTCAGAATCAGATTCTACGGCATCGATTTAGTCAAGGTAGGTTCCTTCAGACGGCATGAAGGGTCGCGATCGGTAGCGGAAATTGTTTTGAAGTTGAACGCCATTACACAGTATGGAGGTGGAGAAGAAAGACGATTGGCTTCCGCCTTCCTCTGTGTTCATGGTGTTGTCCCGGGCAGTAGTTGAACTCTCGTTGAGGGCGAGAAGCAAAAATTATACCAAGTAAGTTAGCATAATTTGATTTTGCTAGTTGCAGCCGTGGATGGAAAGGATTTCGAGACGATGTGAAAATTGCCAGGAACAAAATCGGGCGTATCAGACAGTGGAGAAAAAATTTGCTGAAGAACAAGGCAAGTGACGACCTCAGTGAATTACTAAGTCATCCTTTTGAACTGCCTCTCAATCAAATTGTAAAGCAGATAACCACACACTGAACGAAAAATCGTATCTTGTGTCTGATTCTTGTCCAAGAAAGAAACATTGAACTGCAAGGACAATTGTGGGCTGCAGGGATTGCAAATTGCATGGATTGTATAAGTTTGGAAAATTATATCAGTGTTATCAAATTTCCACACCTGAGCAGTCGTAGGTGCTGAGGTGTGGACATTTGCAACAGTTCATGTCCACGCTGGACCAGCCGTTGATGTCAGTGCTGAAGCAACAGTTGATGTTGATGCCGGCGCAGCAAATGATGGCGCTTTGGAGCCCGCACCCGACATAGCAGGTCTTGACCCTGTGTGTGGCACCAGACTTGATCTTCCATGTGTCATACAAGTGCGTGGTTGTTCCAGGCTGGTATTTTACTGAACTTATCTCTTATATTATAAATACTCACCGCTGGCTTGCTTCTGTGTACAATACTCAATAGCCTCTAGTATGATCGTTGTGCGGCTAATGACATTTTTATGTGCGTCTCTGACTCGTTGCAGCCGAAAACGGGCCCTGTGTGACATCAGAGCTTGCTGTCTACTCGTCTAGTTTCCCACATGCATACTATATAACTTAAATGTTGTGTTTGCCGTATTTCTGTCATATTCCACCTATTACCATGTTGAATTATGCGTGAAATATACTGTTGCTAGGGCCGTTGCTAAGGACGCCATTGCTGCGGTCATTTGGAATTTTGAAAAAAAACTTTTATCTTCCGTTCCGTCACAACCAGGGCCATCCTTGATCCAAGTTTGGCCACGATCGGATGAAGTTTATTTGTTGCTATGGTGTTGCTAGGGAGTATGGGAATTCCATTTTGTGCCATCCTGCAGATCCAATTTGTATGTGTGTTCATCAAGGTTGGTGCGCTATGTTTGAATGCTCATAACTTTGGAAATACTGCTTGGATTCCGTTCAAATTTTCTGTGGACAGTCCTTACACATAGATGCTTCAGGAAAACTTGTTAGTTGGAGCAAAGCGCTGCTCAGAAAAAACCGCCTGAAATCCCTATCCTGGGCCTTTCAAACTCTCCTCTGGATGGCGTGGCACCCCAGGATCGAATGGACACGCGCACAAAAAACTCCAATCCAGGCTATCTGAATGCCTCGATAATGTGAGCCCAGAAGTCCTAGCGTTTTGCACACCGCATTGCTGACCTGGCACCCCTTCCCCACCCCACCCCCCCCCCCCCCACTTTCTCCCCATTGGCTGTTGCCTGGCAACACTCAGGTCATGTAAACTGTCTTGTAGTCACATGATATACCCCCAACTTAGCGTGCAATAGTCTTGTACCTTGGCTGCGTCTTTGTCGTCGGCGATGCCATCACCGACAGCGGACGTGAGAGACGGTGGCACGTAGAATCTCATTTCAGAGAGCTGAACGTCCGCTTCGTCGTTCGGATGGAACTCCAAGTGTACCTCGTTCTTGGTGATGGACGTCTGGCACACACTCTCCAGTGGCAACTCAAACGATGGCTTGTCGTCGATGACAAACTTCAACGATGAGCCTGCAGGTACATGCAAGCAGGGCCCCAAGCAAACAGGCAATGACATCATGCACGTCACTATGGAAAAACTGACCTACACACCTATCATCACCTAACATACAGTAGTACTATGATGGCGCACTATAGTCTGGTATGTGACCCTGTGGCATTGCCCATGCCTCCCACAACGCAGTACACGCACAACCCTACGGAACAACCGAGCTGCCAAGCTGGACAAGCAATGGAACGCATCCATGCTGAGTAAGAGAAGATGGGATTACTCATCACTCAATGGCTCTACATTCTGTCATCATATGCATTGTTCAAATATCAGCAATTTTAGCGCCATACACTACGCTGTAGTGCAGGAAACAATCAAATATCGAGATTCTGTGAAGAGACTGCAGAGTGCAAACACACATAGCAACACGGAGAAAAAGCATGATCAAGCCACGCTGGCGCGATGCCGTACCGCAAAAGTCGGTTTTCCCATAGCTAAGGCCGCGAACAGACCGCTCCACTACGCTCCACGGCAGCTTGTACCATTTGCTAATCTTGCCTTGTAACCGCTGGCTTTCCTGGGAAAGAAAAACAGAATGAAAAAAACAAAAACAAAGAACACCGCATGCACAGAAGACACACGGGCACAGATGCAAACACAGATACACACACAGAAACACACACGCACACACACACAAACACGCACGCCTATCACGTCAGTCTCCAGAAAACAAGAATAAGAAACAGAAACCCGTAGTGTGTGCAAACAAGACCAAAGCCCAAATCCCCGACACCGACACGGTCTACTATAGTCTATCATACGGTGGAATCAAGTGAAATCCGATCTCATGAATAAACCAGAATTGCATTCATTGCACAGGCCAGTGCTTATAATGCTAATGCTAGGGTTACTTATTCCCCGGAGTTGCTATATTATTGGCAAGATCGGACTTTATGCGCTACTCCTGTGTTTCTATTTGCCTGCGTGGCACAATCAATGTACGAAAATTTACACATGAGAGTGGGTTGGCATAACTGTCATGCCACAAAGCGGAGAAGTTACTACTGGCCGTGTGTGCACGCAAATGCACACACACACACGCACACACACGCACGCACACACACACACACACACACACGCACGCACACACACACATGGGACAGCGAGTCACGTACGGTCTCTTTGAAGCCCTGTAGCCGAGTGCAGGAGCCGGACTTGGCGACCAGTGACAGCTCCCAGCCCTTCGGCGCACGCGTCCAGTTGACTGACTCAAGCCCATCTGGGCTGAACTGTTCAATCTTGCCACTTCGGCTGGCCTTGAATGTGATCTTCTCTGGCTGCATGCGAAGACGGCCGTGGTTCTGGATAGGAAACACAGAAAGACGGGGTACAATGACGTTAACAGGCCGACTCAAATTCCAGGGGGCCTTGGTCACCTTAGACTGGTTTTCCAGAAATATTTAATCTGATACTATACCCATGAAACTCTCATCCATGTGCACTTTATATTGGGGGGGGGGGGGGTTCCTGCAAAAGGTCCTCACAAACGGATCCCTTTCGTAGGATTTTTATTCTTCCATTTGTAGACTTGGAAAAAAACTATGAAAGTTATGAAATGAACATACTGCAAAGAGAATGAAGTAGTTCACGGTAGCAGAAGATATAGCTACCACAGCAGCAAGGCGGGAGGCGGCGAAATGGTGCGAAGCGTAGCACGTCACCAAGGGAAAACAAGCAGTGTACTATAGATTCACACGTTACGAAGAGGAAGAAGAGGAGCAAGGTGTGACTTAAATAAAAAATAAAATAAAAAGCAAGGTGTGACTATAAGTGTATAACCAAGTACAGCGGTGTAATGTTCTGCTTCTGCCTGCAAGGTTCAGCTGCTGAGTGTGAATATACACCGATTCTAACGCTTTCAAACAGCGATCAGAACACCCACATGAATCTACAGACTACTGCAAGTGAATGCAAAACAATAAAACAAAACCAATTAGCAGTAACTTCAGGACTGGGCACATGTCCTAAAGGTGCAAGGGATAAATGATCAACCTTGCGAGTTTGAGTTGAAGCGTGCAGACTCACAACAAAATGACAAAGGAATAGAAAGCAAAGAAAAATAACAAAACTACAGAGCGGTTCTGCACTATGTAAAGTTGAGCAACTTTACGCGAGTGGGCAGGAAAACCCATGAATTCGCGAGTTTGCACTCCACTGAGGGAAAGTTGTCTAGGTAGAGTACGTAAGTAGGGCTCCATAAGCGGCTTGGGGTACAAATTGATGACTCTCTCTCCCTGGGTCGTACACTGTCGCGTTTGGTGTTGCCAAGGGTAGGTATGTGATCTGAAAACTCCTTCTGGTGAAACACGAATCTGCATGTAGTCTACGGAAGACTTTCCGTAGATCGACTACATTTTTTACTAACGTAATTACTAATTACATTATCTGTCCCCCCCCCCCCCCCCCCCCAGGAACTTGCGACCCCGCGGCCGCGTTGTTTTCCACCTCATCGAAGCGCACGTGCAGCGCGGGCTTGTGCACCAAGATGAAGCCCTTCTCCAGCGGGAACAGCAAGCCATGGTTGGCCTTGTAGCTGCAGCTGATGCACTGCCCGCCGCGCTGACTGCACACGTTCAAACATGCACAAACACGTAAACCAAATAAACACACGCCCAAAAACAAAACACACGCCCACAATCAAACACACGTGCACATGCAAACCGACAAATCCAAAAGAGCAGTTTGAGGCTGCGTTTACACGACAACGCACGGCCAGTTTTCCGTTTTCAGTCCCGCATTCCTTTTTTCGTTTTTGTCCGTTTACACGATCAAAGCCGATCCGAGGTGGTCTCCGTTTGTATCGTTTTCAAGCGTCTACACGAGAGCAAAGGATCCGCCAAAGTTCGTCATGTGCCAAGTGTTGCCGTGGAAGCACCAATCACACTCAAGTATAATGGCACACGACAACACACGTCACATGACGAAACTTGTAAAAACAATTTTTTGGATTGTCGGATCCGTGTAAACGGCCGAAAACGAAACAAACGTGACGGAAAACGAGGCCAGCACACCGTTTTGACTGTTTACACACCCAAATTTATCAGGCAGAACATTTCCGTTTTCAAATTCTTCCACCTTGGCCAGCGTTTTGGTTTTCTTCCGTTTTGGTGTACAACTTTTACGTTTTGCTCCGCGTACCGTGTAAATGAACCATGGATCCGAAAGGATTTCGTTGCGTTTTCGCCCCCAGCGTTGTCGTGTAAACGCAGCCTGATTCTGACCATTCAAGCATGTACTCTCCGAGACAGCACATCAATTATCATGACATCACTTAGTCTGCAACTCAACGGGTGGAAACATCCAACATGATGTACTTAGTGCGTGGTACGTCCAGTACGTGTGCAGATCTCAAGCACCAGTACAACTCCTTACAGGGTTCTAGCCGAAAGGGTGTGTGTGTGTGGGGGGGGGGGGGGGGGGGCACAGCGAATCCCTCCCCCCCCCCCCCTACTCATTTTCCGATTTTCGTGTTTCCCTGCAATTCAAAGAAAATGCAGTCGAAAGTCACTCCTAGATGGTTCATAAGGGCACATTTGTCTCGGGCGAAGTCGGGGATTCGCGCCATACGTTGCATTTAGCGTGGCAGGACAATACTACTAGGATTGGAAAGTGGAAAAATGGGATACCGTGGGGTAACTGTGTCCCATGTCCCCTGCCCCCCCCCCCCCCCTGCCCCCCTACTATTTTGACCTGGCTAGAAGTAGAACCCTGTCTTATTATACTCTGTTAAAGGGGAAGTATACCCTAAAATCAAATTTTCACCAGTTGTAGTCTTCTGGGTGCTGAGTCGAATGGTCTTGGTCCGAGGAAGCTGCGACGCTCCCTTCCTACTTGAATCCCAATCGAACTCGCGCACTTCCACCGAAACTGGGTGACTGCGCCCTACTAGATGGGGAATTGTATGCAAAATGTCACTAAAAGCGCCATTTCGTTCTTATAAAAGCACGGATGACCGCGATTGGCCCATATGTTGTACTCTTTTGGACGCTGAGTCGACTGGTTTCTGTCCGAAAAGGCTGCGATGCAGCGTTCCTCCTTTATTCCCAATCGAACATGGTTGAACAAGCGGTCACGTGCTCCTGGGTGCCCAAATCACCTGGTCACCACGCCAGCAGGCGACAAATTTCACACCAAGGTTCAACTCGAGTGACAGGAGTGCACCCAAAAAAGATCAAACAGGCTAGTAAGTTGTACCCTGCAGGCACGGTGACCAGGTGACTGGTGTACGCAGGAGCACGTGACCGCTTGTTCAACCATGTTCGATTGGGAATAAAGGAGGAACGCTACATCGCAGCCTTTTCGGACCAAAACCAGTCGACTCAGCGTCCAAAAGACTACAACATATGGGCCAATCGCGGTCATCCGTGCTTTTATAAGAACGAAATGGCGCTTTTAGTGACATTTTGCATACAAATCCCCATCTAGTAGGGCGCAGTCACCCAGTTTCGGTGGAAGTGCGCGAGTTCGATTGGGATTCAAGTAGGAAGGGAGCGTCTCAGCTTCCTCGGACCAAGACCATTCGACTCAGCACCCCGAAGACTACAACTGGTGAAAATTTGATTTTAGGGTATACTTCCCCTTTAAGATGTTGTGGCTCACACATACTACCAAGAGTACATAAACCAGAGTGTGCAACAAGATGTTGTGGCTCACACATACTACCAAGAGTAGATAAACAAGAGTGTGCAACTCCAGCTATGGGGTCTGCGACGGCAGAACTTCACATCACGTGATGAACCCGTGCACTCTAGTGCATGATAGATACTGGGTTGTACGCAGCCCAGCTTTGGGTACAACTCTCTTGTGGTCACTTTGCACTGTTTGCCAGCATAACCTTTTGAACCATGTCACGTGATGTGAAGTTCTGCCGTCGCAGCACAGCATAGAGGTTGTGCAGGCAGTTGCACACTCTTGGTTATGTACTCTTGATACTACCAAGAGTACATAAACCAGAGTGTGCAACTGTGCATATCAGATCTGAAACATCGCAGTTCGTGCACTACGTCACCCTGATGAGGTCAGCCAAGCCGCGACTTGCGTACAGCTCAAATTTTCATGTTTCATAGCCCGGAAATCAGCCAAGTTTTCTTGATTTTAGACGTCCTGTTTCAGGATTTCGGTGTTTTGTGTGACTGTGTACGCTGCGTACATCCACCGACAAGTAAAGTCACCAGGCTATCCGTATCAAAAAACCGAAATCAGGACAAACTCAGTGACCTGCACCACCACGACTGGTTACGCAACTTTTCACCGTACCTAGTACCTGTGGCTTACCATGCCGTCAGAAATGACGTACTGCACGAATTACGCTCCCACAGGAACCATCCCGAGTTGCACACTCTGGTTTATGTACTCTTGATTTTTTTTTTTTTAAATTTTCAAGCCTCTTGTACGGGCAAAATAAACACAAGTGCAAGGTCAACAGCTTTGTAGTACCGAGAGAAAATGAGCTGAAATGGCTGTGAAAACAGTCTTATACGGAGGAAGCTACAATGGCTGTGAAAACAGTCCAATAAGGAGGGAGCTAAAATGGCTGTGAAGACAGTCTAATGCGTAGCAAGGCGAGCCCCAGCCTGGACAAGGTCGACAGGCACAAGGTTGATGTGACGGCGGCGAACGGAGCGTGATCCTCGAACGCACCGGATCGCAGACCTAGCAAGAGAGAAAGCCAAGCAGCAGCGCATCCAGCAAACGACTTTGCTGTAGCTCTCCTTGCGCTTAGAAGCCAGAGCATCAGCAATCCGCTTTACGACGATGTCTGCCTCTGGACCCATTCCGCCGCAAGAGGAGAAGACCAGTGGTGTGAACGAGCCATGTTCAACTTGGTTAACTCTTTCGCCATACTCCCGCTTCTTGGCACCTTCCAACTTGCGATAAATAGATGCAATGGGCTGGGACCGATAGCTCGCTGCGTGGGGATAGAACACCCTCGTATCGAAAAATGCATTGCGGCTATGGTTCCAAAAGCCCCGCACCCGGATGTCCGCTCGCGCATCGGGCTCAACATTGGCAGTACGATAGCGAAAGGCTTCACCGGTGATGGGTTGGAGTGTCGGCTCAACTTCCACATCGTTGTGGATCTCTTTCATGCATGAGGCTAGGAAATTGGTGACCTCATCATGGCGCATGTGAATGAAGCCCGACAGCTTACATATCTGGGCATGGTCCACAGTGAACCGCTCTCCACAGGGACAGGTATCCGGCAGCCTATCCAAGGGCCAGCCATAGCGCAGGTGGACATGATCATGGAAATCGGCTTTCGCGTCGAAGCACAGCCCATGTTCCGATACTGGGATGGACGTGAGCGTACTAGAGCCTCCCTTCTCTCTGGCTAATGACATGGCTCGCTGTTGGAGTGGCGGCAGCCTGCTCTGCACCTCATTAGCTCTGGTTGTTACGGATGCTCGGTTACGCTGGTGAACAACTGCCTTTTGCTCTCGGTCGTGCGCAACACTATCCATGACATCAGCGTCCGGTTCGTTCTTCACAATCTGCTCTGTGAGGTGCGCTGTGCATTGCAGTGAGTCCGCATGCTTGCGTTCTGCTTCGGCCATTGGATCATCAAAGGACATACCTCCTAACCGAGTCGGGAGCTTGACCAAATCCATCTCCACATCATTCAGTTGATGCTTCATCAAAGCAGGGATCAGTTTGCTGTCGATGGCCTCCTTCAGGGGGTGCAAGTGGTCCCCGGCTGTCGGCATCGTGCGCTGGATGAACGTCCAGCGATGGCGTAGCCCGAAGACATATCCAGCGTACGCGGCATGCGGGTGAGTGGCAGCAAGATCGGAGAGACGGGTCACCTCTCCGGCCCATGCTGTAGCCTTCTCATTCAGGTAGGCAGCGATGTAGTCCGTAGACCCGACAGCAGCTCCAAGATGACGTTGACCGGCCTTGTGGGCCAAGTTTTCGCCCTCCTCCGACAGCTGGATGCCAGTGCCTCCAAACACCCTCTCTGCTTCTGCTCTGCTCTCTGGTTTGACAACGAGGTGGGTTTTTGATGGCTTCGGAAAGTATCCATAGGCCGGCCCGTGTTGCACAAGCAGATCCCAGAACTGTCGTAGCGCCTTCAATTTCCCGCCTGCTGCTGCATCATCAGCAAACCAAACTTGGATTGCTCTGATTAGCTCTGATACATCTTGGGTCGTTCCCATTGCTTCGTTGCACTTAGCGATCAGCGGCACCACACTTAGTGCGTACAGTGCCATAGACAGTGGGCATCCTTGGGTGGTACCCTCGTCTGACGACAGCTCCATACCTCCTGTGACAAATAGACGTGCGGGCGCCCGGTAGAAATTCCTCACAATGGTAGCAAGGGCAGGGCAAGTGTGACGGATGTTGTGTAGCGCTGCTGCCCTATTCAGCCGGTTGAACGCATTGTCGGCGTCGACCAGCATCACCGCTTCTGTTGCCATTGAGGTATGTACTCTTGATACTACACGGAGTACTAATGTAGAATTTGCACCACAGCCGGCTGACAAACAGGGGAAAGAACACACGCAAAAGACAGGACAACGGATGCCAAGATCATTACCTTCGGTAATTGCCAGGCACGACGATCTTCTTTGAAGCGACTGCCTTCATGACGCGGCTCAGCACCTCGTAAATAGGCCCATTCATCTGCTGAGTCAGCTTACCCTGGTACTGCTTCTCCAGCTCTTCTCTACAAAACGTAGAAAGAAAAAAGGACATACGGAAACGATTTAAGAGTAACTCTCCACCACTGTAACTAGATACTATATACAGTCAGAAAGTGCAACAACTAGGGACAAAACTGACAGAGTACTGAGACATTCGACGCCCTGACACCTAGCTTCAACATCCTTTTCCTTTCTACATTTATTATTGGCTCAATACCCGAGTCTCTACAAAACGCATGAAAACACGCATGTACAAACACAAACACAGACACAGTGTCATATTGAGTCTTGTTGCTTGCTCTGTATCCAGGACGTAAAACAAGCTCTGTCAAAACGTCTCCAGCTGAGTCACATGGACAGGTCGGGCGAAGAAGCCCCCATGCCGACATGTGTATGACATCCATGCCGCTACTACACACACATACACACACACACAAGGACGCGGTCACATAAGCACGTGCACACACACACACATACACACACCATACCAACATGCACACACACACACACACACACACACACACACACACACACACACACACACACCATTTGGACCATTTGACGCCCATCGCCGGAGGCGATGATAGCGATGCTACAGCAGAAGCCATAGCAGCTTGTGCTGGGATTGCACCATTCAACATCTTGCAAGGCTGAAGAATTGACCGCCACTATTCAGCCTGGTCTAAACCACAGCTATGAAGTGGCTTTTTCTGGCCAGTGAATCACACACACACACACACACACACACACACACACACACACACACACACACACACACACACACACACACACACACACACACACACACACACACACACACACACACACACACATACCATTTGGACCATTTGACGCCCATCGCCGGAGGCGATGATAGCGATGCTACAGCAGAAGCCATAGCAGCTTGTGCTGGGATTGCACCATTCAACATCTTGCAAGGCTGAAGAATTGACCACAGCTATGAAGTGGCTTTTTCTGGCCAGTGAAACACACACACACACACACACACACACACACACACACACACACACACACACACATACATACACACACACACACACCACCGCCGCCGCCGCCGCCGCCGCCTCCGCCTCCGCCGCCGCCGCCACCACCACCACCACCACCTCTGTCGCGATACTAGAGACCATTAGCAAACCGTCACGCTTACGGTCGAACGATTGCACAGCTCCGATTTCCAATCGTCAAAGCATGCACGGCACAAAGCCGTGCGTTGAACCGTTCAGGCACGTGGTGCGGGTGATGCGCGATGCGTGATGCAGCCGGAATCGTAATCGCTTCGTGATCACCCATTGGGGCTGCTCCAATCGTGCTCACGAAACGATTCGAGTTTCCCGTGTGCCGGCCTCATTCCCAGTTTGTCCCAATCGTCGTGGCCGACGGTTTGCTAATGCTCTCGACTATCACACGAAATACACGTGCCTAATAGTTCACTGCCAATGTATCACTGTACACGTGCACTAACATTACACTAGTAGAAGTGTTGCAGTGCAGTGCAGTGGCAGTGCAGTGCAGTCAGGGTAGAGTAAACCAATACTAGTACTAGTAGTATGCTGTGTGTACTTGTTGCCGTGCATCGTGATTGGCGTACAAGCTCATGCCCACATAGACACTCATCTGATGCCCCTTTTGAATCAGATAAGCCCATGGGCCTGTACGCGGAATTCTTCGGTACCGTAGAATCCCGCGTATAAGCCAACCCGCGTATAAGCCCATGCTCACGCATAAGCCCACCGAAATGTCCTTGTGAAACAGATAAGCCCATGGGCTTGTCCGCGGAATTCTTCGGTATGCTGTATGGAGTGGCACCACGTGCACTGGTTTGCCACTAAATACAACGTATCTACAATGTTGTCATCAAACATGACCTCTGTGTGAAACAGAAGTATGGCGGTACTAACAGCAATAGTACCGCCGGTACTAACAGCAATGGACGGTACACAACAAAAGCAATGCCACGTTGCACACATGATAAGAACAGGCACGCCGGCAGACTCACTCTGACAATGCCACCCCTGCTTCCATCGACTCTTCCTTGTTGAGGATGAGAATCAGAAAAGGGTAGCGCGTCTGGCCCTGCCTCATGGTAGGGTCCATAGCCACCTAGGCAAGAAACATGCATGCACACACACAAAAGTGGGAGGAGGAGATATTAGAGAACGACCGAGACAAATACGGATCACAGTCATGCCTTAGTGCAAACGCTGCAGTACTACCTGGAGCAAGTGTCACTTTCATGTTGGCTGATAAAATTTAGTATTGGTACACGAGAGCAGTATGTTCTATGTTTTACATGTAACTGCTGATGGATGGCCAAATGCCTATAAATGGCCCGTGCATATTGTTCTACGGAGCCATGGTGACATTGGTCTACATGCACACATGAACGTCGTGCGTACAACCAGGATGTGGCGGTCCTGGCCTACACGAGTCCCTGATAAGAATGCAGAAACCGGCAGGAGAGCTGTTCCGTGGTCCACCTTCCACACGCCGACATAAGCCTTTGAACATACTAAATATTCCAACACTACAATTCATGCCAATGGGAAGGATAAGCAGCCGCCAAAAGTACAGCGTAGCAAAGAAGTCATAATGTGTGGTAGTCAGCCATTCGAAAAGTCCATTACTAAAGATAAATACCTCCTACTTCAGTAACTATATAGTATGTTGGTAGCAAGAGTCCATGGGGTTATGAACTCTTGTTGGTACTTGGTGTGCTGTATGGCTGCACTACTGCACATAATTCTACATGACTGTTCTCTAGTCTTGATAGTTGCAATTCCTACTGATGAGACAATGAACTCAAATACATGTAAATACATTAAATTTTGCAAAATACAAAAATACAGTGTTGTCCGTATCACTGTACCCATACCATTCTGGCCACACAAGTCACCTAGCGGCAACAGCTACATCACTAGATGTACAGCACATCGGCCACACTGCTTTTTCTATAAGTAAATTAAGTATATCCTGCAAAACTATCAGTGTAACGTTTCAAGCTACATGGTTCAAGTGATCACTGTCCTCCAATCTGCCACTCTCAGCTGGCTGTGTTTTGGGCAGTGGTGATCCTCACTGCTGTGGGCTGGTAGCATGCTCACCAAAGAAATGCCTCAAAAAAATCATATGACAGGGTTTCTTTGTGGTTTGTGAGCGGTGGCGGAACGGAAATATCTTTTAGATTACCACCCACCCAAATGCGGTCCATGGACATCATATTGGTTGAAGACAAGATGCATCGGATGCCATCTCCTGTTATCTGGTTTTTCACCAACGACACCATCTTCAATGAGCTGGTTGTCCGCTTCATGTCAACTAGCTTTTTCACTGTGTTGTCACCCAGCTCGTTGCGATCCAGGAACAAAACTTGCAGATTCTCGTGACCAGTCAGGGCTGTGAGTAGATCCTCTGCGATGGCATCCGTCATTCCTGTGTCGCCCATGCTAACATACTGGAGGTCACAGCAAAGCGGCAATGATGACATGAAAGTCCTGGTGGAGTCCACATCAGTTACTCCATCCTTGAAGACAGGATTCTTAGTCAACGACAGGAGCTGCAATTTACCTTGTGTAGATGAAGCCACTATCGCCGCCGCTCCACTAATGCTTATACTATTCCGATAGAAGTCTACAGAGTGTAAAGTTGAGTTGAACTGGAGTCCCTGCCTTGCCAATGCCTGGACACCGTCATCTTTAATAGCATTGCTAGACAGGTCAAGTGTCCTGATACTGCTGTCACCGGCAATGAATTTTCCAAGGCTCTCCATAGTTAAGTTTGATACTTCGGCCTTGAGGTTGCCTCCATATTGCGCAACGATGTCCTTCACATCCCTCTGGCAAGTACGCCCAGAAGTGATAGACCAATCGGCTATAACTATCTTATCATCGCCGCAGTGTCCAGCCTTCTCCAGTGCCTTCAGCAGAGACGCGTCCACATCATTTCCAGTAAGATTCATGCAGCATGGTTGCTGCAATTTGTTGGGCCGTGCCTGTGCCTTGTCTGCTGATGCGGTGTTGGTGTGAACACGCCTTGCCTTCAAGAAGTTATCTATATGCGAAGCAATGCCATTGGTGAGTAGGTTACTCCCAAGGTGGATACCCTGTATACTATGATTGTGCTGTAGGGCTGACAGTATGCAGGCGGCGTCCTCGTCCTTGAGGTCATTGCAGGCCAGACTCAGGATAGTCAAATTTGGCATGGACAGTATCAGTGACGAAAGGGCTGTACCACATCCCGTGAACAAACCAATCTCCTCCGCACACAAGTTAGACATGCTCAGGAAAGGTGTTGTAATTTTTGTTTGGAGTAGTTCCAGCGAAGCGTTTCCCAAGTCATTGGCCGATACGTTTATAGTGCGGAGATGGGGCAAGTGAAGCAGCTTAGACAAGGACCCCGCGTCTTGCTCCGTTAAACATGCACCTGAAATGTGCAGTTTTGCAATGGTGCAATCACGCTGCATATGTTGAGAATGGGATAGCGCTGCAGCGAAAACTTCCAGTGACGCTCCGCTCAGGTTGTTCCCATGTAGGTTCACATCAACGCATTGTCTCAGGTAAGGCGCTATCTCCGTGATCTGATCTCTAGAGAGGTTGCAGTTACTGATGTTTACAAGGTGTACTCGCTCAAACAGACTCAACACATTGCACAAAGCTGATATGTCACTATCGTTCAGATGTATGCCTGACAAGTTAACTCCATGTGATGTTTGCAGTAGTATTACGGCGGAGCGGACGAGATCTTTACACTGATCGTCACTGGAAGACAAGACGGGGGAGCTGTTGTATGAAAGACTGCACTCCAGTAAACACGACATCAAGAACAAGATGAAGCGGCGTTGCTGGAGCGCTGACTTGTGTGTTGATTTAGCCAGCATGACTTTAAACAAGTCAGGCAGGAGCTTAGTGTGAATAGAGCCCGCAACAAAACGCCAGAATGGCTGCGTTTCCTCGCCTACACCAATTTCCGAGATGTATTGTGAAATGTTCGAGACGAAGGACTGCTGCATTACGAAACTACGTGCTGCACAGAACTCTTGTATGGTAAGGTGAAGAAAGGCAACACGTCGCCCAGCACTGCCACTGGCTGATGACTGGTTGTCCACAGGGACGAGGAATCCTAGTTGCTTACACAGTGTCAAACAGTCATCCTGCATTTCTGAGGATGAAAACCAGGCGCGGCCCAAAAGCAAGCGTTCCATGGACAAACGATACAGATGGCACAATGCTTGCACCAACTCTGCGCCATCACATAGGGAACCAGCAGGCCCTTGCTGAACGTGATGCTCCAGGCCGTTGGTAATGACATCATGCACTGATAATTGATCTCCGGCCTGGAATCCCCCACTGTACGTATGACCACTGGTTGGAGTCTGGCTGAGTGTCACTTTGCTGAACTGTTTTCCCCGCTTCCTCTCCAGCTCTGCAACAGCTGAACACATGAACTGCACGTAGAATGATGTCGTACACGGCGGTACAGCCTCGGATACGGCAAACTCTTGGCAAAGGAGAGCGGCCAGCAGTGGTGTAGTCTGCACGGCATGCTTCAGGTGCTTGCGAGATGCCTGCGCTAACTCAGCCAAGCACTTTTCAGCACTCTCCGCGCCACCCAACTGTTGGCAGCAGAAGTCCCGTAATTGTGCATCGGTGAAGCCAGTCAGCCGGTAGTAGGCTGCACATTGTCGTACCAGATCAGTGGCCTTGTTGCAGGGCCGGCTAGTGACAACCACGGACGCATTCACCAGCCGATTTTTCTTAGTCTCGTCCATGAATTGGCAGGCTGCTGATGTGTACTGGAATGCATCCTTCCCGCCTTCATCCACGCCATCTAGAAGCAGGAGAACACGTTCAGAGTTCGCTGACAAATATCGCAAAACCTCTTCTCGCTCGTCCGAAGTTATGTCCAGGGCGTGGTGATCCAACCCCAGAAACTCTGTCCACTCACTGGTGCTAACACGGTCCGTATCTCGGCACGAGATTGGAATGACAAAGTCAAAGTGCTCTTGCATTAGACCAGGTGCATGTTCATCGCCTGAATAGTCGGCCATCACACGTCGATATGCCATTGTCTTGCCTTTACCAGCACCAGACATCAACATGCAACGCTTCAACAACTTCACTTTCTGGCCAGACGACGACGCACCTCTGCTATTACTACTTGCACTGCGCGCCGGTTGTGCGTCGGATTTGGGATCTTTCATCAGTAGCTGCAATGGATTGTGGAGTTCAAAACTGCATTTGCTGTCATCCGCAAGGTCGGCAAGGAATTCTGATGCTGAGGGACCGGGCTGTGCTCTGTTGCCCTTGCTTCGCTGAACAGACAGACGCAGTGCTTCGCGTTCAGTCATCGCCGTCATCGATACAAATGTGTCCTCCACACTTTCTTGTGTAGGTGCCATGCTTGCGTGCCGTGATTGCACTTCGCACTGCTTCTTCAAGTGTATTTTATAACGCTCAATGGGGCTTTTATCACCGTGGTATCTGCCTTTCAGAATCGCATTCTCTATCCAGGCCATTGCGGCAGTATATGGTATACGAGGCCGGGCTAGATCGCACTTACTAGCCGTTTCTTCACATTCCTCTGCTATGCAGCGCTCACGCTCTTTCTGCAGCATTTCGGCCATTGCTGGCTGCTCCACGGCCAGCACTGCCTTGCAGAACGCATCGAAAACGTTTTCCGACTGGAAACTATCGCTGGTCTTCTTGGCAACAAGTAGTCTGAGAATCTCGCTGACCTGCTGATACTGGGTCGAATGTTGTTTGATTTCCACGTACTCACGAGTGCCTTCGAACACACCAGCATTGACCAGGTGATCGAAGACCAGCATTACATCGGCATGAAGAACGCGCTGCAGTTCCTTCTCGCGGAACTGTAGTGCCAGGATCTCGTACCACTGGAGGATTTCCTTGCGCACCTCCTCCATTTCGAGGCGTGCTCGCTTCTTTTGGCACCACCTCTGTATCGTAGCTAACTGTGTGGGAGTTCGTGCAGTCAGGGCCGACTCACACGGTAGCCAAGCTAGTTCGATAAACTCACCAACACACTAACAGTAACAAGTAACCTGGTAACAGTTGCAGTAGAGTCGGACAACAGTCCGGGTGGACATAGCAGTGAACGTCGATCAGAACGATTTCAGACCACGGACCCACTCCCCACCATACATCGCACACTCGCCGACCGATGCAAACAACTACTTGTACTTGTAGCCGTGGCTTATCATGATTGTTATGATCCACACGGACCATAGGCTTATGCCATAGGCATAGCGACAGGTAGAGTCTAGTAATACTAATAAGTAAATTTTAGTTATACTGGTTATCTACTACTAGTACTACTACTACAGTGTAGTAGATCTACCTACCCCAGTGTTCGGCACCGCCAGACATGGATAGTCCAGTCTGCGAGTCCGTCCTCACTCAGCTCAGCCTCAGATGCGGCGAGCTGGACGTGCACAACGGAGGAAAAGAGTGCGGTTGGACAAAGAGGCATGGTGGGTGTGGGGTGCGTCACCCCGGGCGTTCTACATGTATTTGGCATGTGTCGAGTGGCATCACCATCATCAGGCACCTTCATTGGCTTCAAGCAGCTATGGTAATCATGGTAATTGGTATGAGAACGGGCAACAATGGTATTACTAGTCCTGGCATGCACTGGACGAATCGATGTGACTGAGTCATGCTTGCACGGCGTTTCCCCTACATTGCAACCAGGACATGGATTGACATGATGGAGAGAGTCAGTATGACATGTAGTAGACCTACGTGTATTGAGTCGGTACATACCAGGGAGTCGTAAAACATAATAATAATTATTATTATTGTTTTACCACTCCCTGTAAAGAACTCTTCCTCTCCTCTCCTCCATGCGCTCTCACAGCCGACTCACTGCTACCCTCAGTAGCCATTACACACACCAACCAAGGAAGGGTTGCAGGTAGATACTGGAATTCCTCCTGACAGCTGTTTCGCCTTCATAAGGCTCATCAGAGAAGGTGATATTGAATAGGATGATATTAGGTGGAGATGGTCAGATTTATACTACAAAACATGGGCGCAAGATGACGGGCAAAGTGTGAGAATGAGAAGTTACAATTCTCCAGCAACACAGTGCCAGGGGTTCCAAGAAAATGGCAGGTGAGTAACCCAAATCACAAGCTGCTAACCTCTCCAGCAACACAGTGCCAGGGGTTCCAAGAAAATGGCAGGTGAGAAATCCAATCACAAGCTGCTAACATTAATTTTCTAACGGCTAGGTGATAGTTTAAGAATTTTGGCGAGCCACCAAACAAAGACGAGTGAAAGAAAGCAGAGTACTAAGCGTGCAGTGCAGCAAAACTTACAAAGAGTGCACACACGCATGAATGGACTGTACTCTGTAGTTACATGTAGATCTACTTTTCACTTGGGCAGTTCTCATACCACTCCCTGGTATGTAATAATATTATTATTACTTTCACGACTCCCTGGTAATAGTGGTATGTAACCATGGTGCCATGTGACCATGGTGAGCACTACTGTGTGGCACAGACTTACTCTTCCTAGCATATTTTTAAAATGTATCCTAAAAGCTGACAGTGACACAGATTGTAGTTTCCACATAGATCTATCAATGGCAATGGCAATGCCAATGGCTTACCTTGAACGAAGAAGCCCCCCACCCTCCATACACACACACACACACACACACACCACACACACCTCAGACCTCAGACATGCCCATCGCGGAAGCGATGATAGCGAACAGCTATGTTAGACATAGCAACTTGTGCTGGGATTACACCATTCAACAGCTTGCAAGGCTGATGAATTGACCGCCACTATTTTTAGCCTGGTATCCACCACACAGCTGTTTGAAGTGACTTTTTCTGGCCAGTGAATCCCTATTTTTCTTTTTTCTTTTTTTCTACACACACACACACCACACCACATACTCCGGCATACACTGGCTGTTGGTAACCACCCAGGAGAATGAAAGAAAAGTCAGGAAGAGTCCGAGAAAGAGAAGAAAAACGTGTGCGACCATAATCGTCGGGAATTGAACCCGCAACCTCTCGATTGGAAATCGACTGCACATACCACTGCACCATATGGGACACACACACACACACACACACACACACACACACACACACACACACACACACACACACCGGCGCACACACGCACGCACACCTTGACCTTGACCTTTGACGCCCATCGCCGGAGGCGATGATAGCAATGCTACGGCAGAAGCCATAGCAACTTGTGCTGGGATTACACCATTCAACAGCTTGCAAGGCTGAAGAATTGACCGAATAGTGAATAGTGACGCACGCACACACACACACACACACACACACACACACACCTCCGTGGTCGGTAGAGCCCCGGTCTTCACGACCATCTGAACCGTATGGATGTTAGACCCGCTTCTGACCCTCTGTATTCTAGGGGAGTTGTCTGAGTTTTCTTGTTGTTGTACCGTCAGTCGTGTATTCTTTGTTCGCTCCTGGATGGCATCCCAAACCGGGTCTAGCACCCATACGGTTCAGATGGTCGCAACAGTCCGGGGCTCTACCAACCACGGAGGTTGTAGCAAGATCACTGTTTCCGAACACGGTGGTCTCCACCTTGTTACATGCTGTCAACCAACGACATGGTTCAACAAAACAAGGTTTATCTGATACTCAATCTGCAGACAGAACTGTTTCCTGATATGTATGGACAGAGTACAATGCAAATATGTATGCCACAGAGTACAATGATGCAAACATGCATATAATTATCAGCCCCCCAGTGCCGAACACAGTCAACGTTGCGAACAGCGCGACCCTCACCCGGCCATGAGAAAAGTGTTGTAATATGTTGTTATTTGTAACTTGGAAATTGTGGGCACAAGTTATGCGATCGAGTCCACCAACTGAACCAGATTTTGAACAGTCAGCCAGTCGATCGCTAAACTGGTGGCCACAACTTCCATGTTACAATTTGTTTCCTTGGCTCACCATCTGAGTTCTATTTTGTTATTGTTTTGCGATTTAAAATCTAAATCTACCTAGCTTCACTATGATAAGTAACAATAATGCAGGCTGGGGTGGGACCTCCTGTAAAGTAATGCCTTGTACATATGTTTGGCCCCGATACTCGCTTCTCCTGGATAGTGGTATTTTTGCACTCCCATGCACTGTTGTTGCTAGCACCTGCAATTACATGTACATGTATGTGCTACATCATGTATGTACTATGTACGCATGTACATACACGTGCCATGGCCTGACCAACCGGAGCGGTTCCGCCGGGCCTGCTTGGTCTGAATATTATTATGATAGTGTTGTTATTAGCGAGATAGTGTTATGATCCGAGGTTGTTATTCTCAAGGTTCACCACTAACAAGAATATCGGTAAAGGCTAATGATTGCCATGATTAATCCACACCATTTTCCATTGTCTGCATCGAAAATAATTTTTGTCTTCCTTTTTTCACCATAAAATAATTCTGCAGCACTTTCTGGGAGCGTTTCGCCATTCTCATAGCTATAGAGGATATGACAGCCCAGTATTAAAAATGTAGGAATGCTTTTCACACTTTTCTTGCCACCGCCCCGCGCCCGTGACAAGCCTTGGAAATGCCTGCACTCGCCTACACCAAGAGTACATAACCCCCCCCCCCCCAGAGTGTGCAACTCCACTATGCATGGGTGCTGTCCCGACAGAATTTCAAGTTGACGTCATTTTGATGATGCAATGTGCACTGTACATGGATTATCAGACGAATCCGGAACCTGTGGTTGATGCGAAGCCGATCGATCCTGTACAAATTATTGCAAAGAAAAACGTGTGATGCGTTGACACCCGTACACATGTTGTAAATCACTGCACTGGTGCAAGGAGCATTGCGTCATAAAATTATGACGTCAACTTAAAATTCTGTCGGGACAGCAGGATATGTGGGAGTTGCACACTCTGGGGGTTATGTACTCTTGCCTACACGTACATGTATCTATACTGGTAATGTTAATGGCAACATCAATGTGCTCAGATACATAACAAAAACGACTTTTGGGTTGTTGCCTGCATACTCACCGGCACAACTCTGTTTCCGCGGTCAAAAGTGCGAACTCCACGGATCACTGTGATCTCTGAGCCGGAAATCATCGTGGCCACGGAATCACATATTTCAAGGGAACAGATTGCTGTGAAAGGAATGTCTTCTCCTGCTGCATATACTTCGAGTGCAATACTATAAATGAAACTTCGCAGCAGCATTATCCAGCCACTCCCACTGTTCGGTTCACACGGGGAAAAAAAGAGAAGAAAAAAAGAGTCGAGTGGTCTTGGTCCGAGGAAGCTGAGACGCTCCCTTCTTCCTTTATTCCCAATCGAACTCGCGAACTTCCACCGAAAGTGACTGGTGTACGCAGGAGCACGTGACTGCTTGTTCAACCATGTTCGATTGGGAATAAAGGAGGAACGCTGCATTGCAGCCTTTTCGGACCAAAACCAGTCGACTCAGCGTCCAAACGACTACAACATACGGGCCAATCGCGGTCATCCGTGCTTTTATAAGAACGAAATGGCGCTTTTAGTGACATTTTGCATACAAATCCCCATCTTCATCTTGTAGTAGGGCGCAGTCACCCAGTTTCAGTGGAAGTGCGAGAGTTCGATTGGGAATATAGGAGGAAGGGAGCGTCTCAGCTTCCTCGGACCAAGACCATTCGACTCAGCAGTGAGCGCCCCAAAGACTACAACTAGTGAAAATTTGATTTTAGGCTTAACTTCCCCTTTAACATGTTGCCATACTTTCGTTAAAATGATTTAGCATTACTACAAATACCACATGCTAAACTGAACACAACACATGCTAAACTGAACACAACACATTCTAAACACATTCCTAACTTTTAAACACAACACATTTTTCAGATAAGCCTACCTCAGATTTTGAAACCTGATGCCATCTTCATCATCAGCTTCAGTATAGCTTGTGCCAATCACCTGATCACACGGCGTCCATGTAACCGATAGCCAGTGGTCTTCACATCTTCTCATGCCATGGCAGGCTATAACCATGTGGGACTAACAATGCTGGGTCAACAATTCTGTACACAAGCCGTAGTCATGAAGCTGTGCTGCAGGATATCTGCGCACAAATCCGAATTGCACCACCAGCAATGAATCACTTGCATGCACACGATGCAAATTACACAAGCATACCCATCACAACATGCAGTAATAATAGTATCACAGACACCCATACACTTACAGGTACATGAATTAAAGACAGCCATACAGGTACATGAATTAAAGACAGCCATACAGGCACATGAATTAAAGACACCCATGCAGGTACGTGTACTGCATCTACAACAAATCTACAGGCAGGTGGAAACAAACAAAAACCGCACAGATGAGTGAGATGACATTTTCCTAACGGAGGAAGCTAGTGGCTGTGAGTTGAACCCTCACACATCCCAATGCCCAGGCAAGGTAAAAACAAACAGTTGCCACTATGCACACACACACACACACACACACACACACACACACATACACAAACACGCACACGCACACACACACACGCACACACGCGCGGCAGCAGCAGCAGCAAACTGGCCAAACCCTATCACCGTAAACCAGGAAGTATTGTCCTACTCCCTGCCGTAACCACACACAAGCAATCTTCACCGAATACAAAAGCAGTGAAGCGAGTAGTTGGCCAAGCAAAGCAAAGCGTGTATAAGAGCATCGAATCACAGACAGAGGCTCAATCAGAGTAAGGAATTCAAGTCTTTAAAAAAACCCATGGCAACCAGGCCAGGTCATAGAAGTGTGAGAAAGCCTAAGCAGCATAAGAAGGGGCAGAAACAGAGAAGGCTACGGGGTATTGTAACATGTACAACCAAACTGTATGACTTTCGGTGGCAGCAACAGTGTGGGAATTACTACAGGGTCCAATATATACATTCAATGGCACATGAACATCTGATGTACTGCAACGTACGGCTCAACATGCAGCAGTGTAATTTAAAGTTCAAAGCCACACAAAGACAACGAGACGCCAACATAGTAAAACAAATTTAACAACACAACACGTGAATGAACACATTCATGAAAATGAACGCACACACATACACACACACACACACACACACGCACACACACACCACACACACACACACACACACACACACACATGCACACACACACACACACACACACACACACACACACACACACACACACACACACACACACACATAAAGACACACAGCGACAACAACACACAAAGCACGGAAACAGCAGGGAGTCGACGCACGGCAAATGGTTACCAATGGTCCCACGCACGCACGCGCAAGCTTAGCTCAGTCTGCTCAGTCGCTTTCATCACCATCATCACTGCCTACGTCACTAGCTCCAGACGTTAGCTCGGCTTCTTCCTCATCATTCGAGCCTTCGGACGGCAGCTGGGCTAGCTCCTCGTCGTTCGACTGTCCGCGTCGTGAGCGTGTGGACCTCTTTGCCGGCGGTGCCCCATCATCATCACTCTCATCCTCCATGACAACATCACTACCACCACTGTCACTATCACTGATCTCCTCCTTCGAGATCGGTGCTTCCTTCTTCTTGGCTTTCGCCACACTCGTAGAGCTACGGTGAACAAAACAACGAGAATATAAAGTGGGTTAACATATCAAGTTGTCTCCCACACACACACAGATCATACTCTATCAATAATCTCCACTTTCTTTTTCTTGGTCGTTGTGTCGGTATTTGCAACTTAAAATAAAAGGTAATTCGCTACAGTTTCAGGCGTCGCCACACACTTTTTCAGGAAGCTATTCACCAGAATTTCATCAATGTAATAATTTGCTCATAATGGTGGACTACCAAGAAAAGATCATGCTGATTCTGAATCTGCGATAAAGTTTGTAGGTTCCCATATTCGTTCTTTGTGATATCGAGGAATATGGAACATTGGAATTTCGGGCAAAATGGCAACATTTGCCCTGACTCACTTGTGAGGTCTGCATTCGCCACTAAGGTGTAAAGGCATAGTGGTGGCCTGCGGAAGCGAAGGCTATAGCTTGTGTGTTTCTGAACATTCAAGTGATGCTAACGCGGATCCCGCGAATATTATTATTATTATTATTATTATTATTATTGCGACTTTTAGACAACTAGAATAGTAGTAAAACTCCGGGGACCCCCATTTTTTATTTCACAAAACCACTTCCAAAGCTTTAAAGACATCTGCAGAATTTGAAGAGAATATTCCATGGATGATTATTTAGGGGTGAAACGATCATCGAAATTGGTTAACAACTACTAATATGTTGTTAACGATCGAGCTATCGATTATACATGTAGCAAGACTAACAACTATCTTCAGCTGTTCAATTATAACAAAGTTGTGCTACCTTCCTCCCTTTTCTGAGAAAATACCACTGAAGCAAATCGGAATAATGGGGTGGGTTGCTGTGAATGCCGGTGAGAGACTGTGAAGCACACAGTGTGACAGTGGTAGGTAAGTATACTCATACCTCGTTTATCCGGGCGGTCAGGGACTGGCCACTGCCCGCAACTTTGAAATGTCCGTGACTCCGAATCACATACATTTTGATACGGAAAGGCCATAAAATGGCATAATAATATTATGACTAGGGCTCAAACGGTCACGGTTTTACCCCTGACGGTTAACTGCTAAGCTAACGGTCGGTTAACCGGTTATAACCTATAAGCCACGGCAATCCTGCGGACTCTTTTTTAACCGTATATTTGACTATACTCATTCCAAAAATGTACCCTATTCAGTACAACGCACACTTGTACATTCTCTTGCATGCTCATTCATACATACTCTCACACCAAGAGACCAGATATGACCGAGTTGACAGCCCAGAAATTGCGTACGGGTGCGACAGCCCGCGAAAGTGCACACTTTGCAACGACCTGATACTTGAAAAATTGACTGAAAAGTTACTGCGTAACCGTTATCTTTATCGGTTAACCGTTAATTCTTCGTAACCGATCTGCAACCGGTTAATCGGACTAACCGTTTGAGCCCTAATTATGACGTCACTATTTCCACAAAAAGTGACAGTTCAGTAGTAATATTTCCACTAAAACTCGCCCAAAGGGTGCTCGGTAGACCGAAGTGCTCGTAACCTCGGGGTCCGGATAACCGAGAGGTACCGGTATGTGTGTAGTGTATGCTACATTTCAAAACACTGATATAGACCACTGCTAACTGTTAGACACACACCACAGTAAAATCTGTCAAGGTAACCACTCTGATAAGGCGACCGACTGAATTTACTGTCCTACAGGACCACTGCAACCAGAACCAAGGCATGGTATTTCCAGTCAAAAGTCCCTGGATAAGGTGACCACCCGTGCAAGGAGGTCGCCTTTGACGGGTTATACTGTCGACTGTCTACTGCCAGACATAGCCTCGGAACACTATGTAAAAGCAATGACATATTGGGGCAGGAATGGGATTGCAAAACGTGGATACAAACATTGGACGCAATCCTGCTAACCAACCTGGCTGATGGCTTTTCCTTCTTCTCTTTCCGTTCCTTCTTTTCTTTCGGTTCCTTCTTTTCTTTCTTTTCTGCTTTTTCTACCTTCTCCTTTGGCTGCTTCGGCTTGCTTGGTGCCTGGAACAAACGTTGGTGCGAATAGCATGACATGTACCCAAGTAAGCGAAAAAAGATTGCCATTGAATAAGAACCACACACCATGCACACACCATGCACACGCCATGCACACACACACACACACACACACACACACACACACACACACACACACACACACACACACACACACACACATACACAAACGCGCGCACACACACACACACGCGCGCACACACACACACACACACACACACACACACACACACAGGTATTCACTGTAACAGCTCTCCTATGTCACCTACCTTCTTCCTCTTCTTGCTCTCATCCACAGCCGGGACTGTCTTGGCTGCATTCTCCTCATCACTCGACAACATAGCATCAGAATCAAACCTATACAGGCAACAACCGCACAAACAAACCACACGGCAACGACGTAAAAGAAAGCTAAGTCCAGTTCAATAGATCAGGTAAGAACGTGCCCAGCTGCTCACTGTGATCAAACATGAGCAATGTGCTGCTACTACAGCCATCCACGGGCAGCATGCAGTAACAGTTAAGAAGACACTCAGTGATGCCACTGCACTGCACGCCAAGACAATAGCTTCTGTCATACATGATAACTAACTACTGTCAGGTTTTGCGCCGGAGTCAGTCAGCCTGTGGCGTCAATTTTGTGATTAGGTGGACACTTGGTGAATGTACTTCAGGGATCGATTTACTTTGATTTTTTTCCATAGCAGTCACACAGCGCACAGAATTTTCGCTTTTCTCCTTTTCGCTTCCACGACAGTTCGCAGAAAACATTTTCGACGAACAACTGTTCGTCGAATCCTGTTCGTCCCCAAGCCATTTCGTTGACTGGCCCATTAGGTGACTGTCCTTTTCGACGTGTGAACTTCTCGCCGAGTGACAGGTTAGACGAAAGGTATTTTCATCGACAACCTTTGTCGAGGTGTGGGATTTTCGTCGAATGACACGAAATCGACCTCTAAATATACCTAACAAAACCAAACGAAGGGAAAGGGAAATGTGCAAATGCAAGGCGAACATGGGCGAGGACACAAACAAGTGAAGGGAGCGAAAGGTTTCCATGGCGTGAGCGTGGTGGTGCAATTCTAACAGATGGATCAAAACAAAAACTTTATTACATATGTGTGCCCTCCCAACAATCAACCATATAAGGCATATCTGTTGATGTTCTTCAAGCAACTACGAGAACTGATGATGGAAGTAGATCTCAAGACGACCACCAAGCATGGAAAAGAAAAGCTCATTCACCGTGGGTATGGCTACGTTGTGGACAAGGTTGGAAAGGATGGAGTAGTTTACTGGAAGTGCGAGGAGAAGGATGCCTTGAGCTGCAAGGGAAGGATGAGGACAAGGCACGGGCTGGTGACGGCGGTAACTGGCAACCACACTCATGCTCCGGATGCCATGCGTGGGGACGTAGCCAAAGTACGGGATCAAGTATCCTCGCGGGCTGCGCCTCTTGGAGCTAATACAGCACTTCAATGCAGGACACGACCGACTCAAGTTCACCTACGAGCTCAGCAGTAGCAAAGGCTGGATTGATTACATGGACGTGACGATTGCCATACAACAGTCGGGCCAGATGACGTACAAGCTCTTCCAAAAGCCATGCAATAGTGGATTGCTGATAGACTACGCATCTGCTGTACCTCATCACATCAAACTTGCCGTTGCCAAGTCTCAATTCTTAAGAGCACAACGGCTGTCTTCCAATGACACCATGTGTAAAGAAAGTGAACAGAAAATTCAAGACCAACTTCAACTCAACCACTATCCAGAGAGCCTCATCATCAATGCCCGAGAAGCAGCAAGGAAACCCAAGCGTCGCCGCCGAGGTAATCCGTGTTGTGCGTTTCTGAAGCTGCCGTATAAGTCGGACAGGGTGCATCACAGCGTCAGCAAAGCTATCCGGAAGCACAAGTTACCAGTCCGGGTGGTTTACGAGCATGCGGGTAGCCTCAAACGTCAGCTCTGTCACTCAGCACAAAGTCCGCCCAGCTGCATTAAGGAGCCCAACATCAGAAAGACAAAGAGAAGAGGACGCCCATTGGGGCCGTGTCTGACTTGTAAGTCGGGTGGAGTGAAAATATGTTTGAAGAAGAATGTGATATACCGGCTGCAATGCAAGTTGTGCAGGGAAAAATACATTGGAGAGACGGGTCGCACACTGGAGACAAGACTGGAGGAACACAACGGTGAGGCTCGTAGGCGCACTGTGGATAAGCCATGGGGTGACCACATGCGAGCTAAGCATGCAGGGATCAACCTAGGTGTCGGGGACAGCATCTTCTCGGCAGTGTCTGTGGTTGCAAGAGCCAGTGACAGGGCAAGCCGCAAATTGCGAGAGGCAGTGGAGATCAGAAACGAAGGCCCAGAGATCAACACCAGTACTGGATGGTCATTACTCTAAAACAATCACACCACACTGTCTATCTAGGTGACAGTATTTACTGGAAACCACTGACATGGTCACATTCGTGAATTGCTTGCGAGAAACCTGTTCAGACATTTCTCAAGTTATCTGGTGACATCTGCGCTGTGCTAACTTATTACCAACACCCAGCATATGAGTCAGTGAAAAGTTGTGATCTTTCACTAGTTTTAGACATGTCATATTTCTAGCACTGAGGTAACATATGTAGTCATAAAAAAATATTATCAACACCTAAGAACACAAATTAGTGTATATAACTGCTCCTTGGCAGACTTCCACTTCATATTGTATCCTGATGATGGCAATTTGCCGAAACGTTGAAAATGATTATGTGAAATGAAATGAGTTGTGAATTTGCAGTGCCCAGGGAATGAGC